CAAATGAGCATCCATTAACTATCTTAGTTAATGATGTGGAGCTATTTACTTCTTTTTAGGTCAAGAGTCAAGAATGGAATATGAGAAGATGTTGGAGAACTAATTGCCATTCAAAGCACTATTTATGTCACAGAACCCTGGCCCAAATTCAGAAAATGTTAGCACTAAAATAAATCTTTCTTTCTTTTTCTTGTCCTGACTTAGGGCACAATCCTAACTAGCCAGGTTGGCCTTAGGCTGGCTGAATTAGACTATCACAATTAAGAGGGAGATGACTGTTAAAGGTACAGTGTGCTATTTCCCCCAAATGCAAGTCCTGCTGCTGCCATGAAACCCATTGCAACAGCAGTTTGTGCCGTAGAAGGCTAAGCCCCTCCTAGTGCATCTGGTGCAGTCAGAGTGCCCCCATGACTTCTGCTTATTGTTCCATAGGATGGCCTCACATTACACGCTCTTCCCCCTGCCCTAGCTCATGATTAGTAGCAAGATTAGTGACTAGAGCTGTGTAAAGTTATACTTCAGGCAAGAATTGTTAGGCTGTGCTTTCCAGGGATCCTATAGTCTGTTGTCCATCTGACACAACTCTACACAACTCTACACAGTTCAAGGCCTGGCCCTTTCACTGTCCATCTTCCTGCTCTCCTTCCTGGTTGGGTAATGTTGAGTTTGCACTTGGACTCTTCCTTCTGTTTTTACTCACAATTGGGCAGCTTTGGTCCTTTCTACAACACTAAATATATGGCTTATAATTGGAGGGCCAGCTTGAATTCCTGCAACTGTTAATCCACCTGCCCCTTACCTGACTGGGGGGGGGGCAATTTTAATCCCTCCCACCCTCTCCTCTTGTCTCATGATTGGTGGGGCCAGCTTGTATCCATCCCAATGATATCTTGCCCACCCCCTACCTCCTGGCTGTTGATTAGGGCACCAGCCTGTATCCATGCCAGTGTCTTTCCTGCCCCCTCAGCCTCATGAGTCATCGCATTCACACAGCTCATGATTGGCAAACCATGCATGCCTTCCCACCCTTCCCGTCATTATCAATGAAAACCTTCCCTAGGAGTATGGCCCTGAGCTACCTTGTCTAATAAAGAAATCTGACTCAGAGTTGTTGCACATAGCATTTTATTGAGCAGGTATCTCTCCTCAGAAGCACCCTTGTATCTTAGACAATGAGTAGACAGACAGCAGAGAGACATGTGCAAAGTGCTTTTGTGTAGCTGTGCTACAGCTGATGCATAGCTGTCTAACCAGAACAGCTGCAGGACCCGGGCAGTTCAGTAGCTGCAGTCACACATGGCTGGGTGCTTTTGGAGCTGCACCTGTAGCACAGCTGGCTGTTGATTCCAAATCCGGATCAAGATGAGTGTACTGGCAAAACTATCCTTGAGCCTTGTCAGGAATTCATTTGGGGATTCTGTGGGGTTTTTTAACAATCTCATATACTCTATGAAGGTTTCACAGCCTTTGACACTCCTAGTTTGAGGCCATAAATTACAGCATTTCTTGCTTTTTCAGCAGGCAGGCCCCAGCAAGCTTATTAGGATTGGGATCAATAACTTCGGTTATGAGGGCTGCTGCTTCAGGCCAATCAACTGTTCCATTGCCATTGGCTATTTGTTGAACCCTATGAGTAATATACTAGGTGTAGGTCTTAGCAAGAGCCTGCCATTTCATTTCTCATCTTCACTTAGGAGGCTGCTCAGAAGAGTGGTGAATAGTAATGATCCGTTGGATCAAGTCCAGGTACTTCTGAAGGGCCTCTCGATATGGTGGAAGATCTTGTTTCCAGTTAAATAAATCAGCAGTGCGGAATGGGGTATGGGCCAGAACTAATTTATTTCCCATTGGAAGCTCCATTAAGGGGAGAACTTTCTCCACAGATTTAGGTGTAAAGTGATCTGGGGGCACTCCCTGCATGGTTTGTTTAGATCAAGGGACCCCAACCTCCGGTCTGTGGCCTGGTGCCGGACTCTGGGCTTCCTTCAACTGGGCCATGGACATGGATCTTCACCCCCACCTGCCTGCACAGGGGTGTGTGTCGCGCTTGTGGAGGGGCGTATCATGCTCACGGTGGGCGTGTCATGCTCGCGAGTGGGCGTGTTGTGCTTTCGCAGCTCCTCATTGGCTGGCGGGCGGGCCCCTAGTGGTGCCTGCTACTAGCCGCTTTGTTCTCTTGGACGGAACATTTGTTCCCACTTGTTGGTTGCGGCTCTTCAGCCCTGGTGGTGGCAGCAAACAAGCAGCTGTAGGAAAGGAAAAGGAAAGGAAGAGAGAGGGAGGGAACAAGTGATAGACCCTCAAGACCGATGGACAGATGGGCGCAAGCTCTCCATGGCAGGCTGTGAATAGAAACTGGGGGAGGGGAGTGTGTGTGAGAAGGCCGTTCTCTTGGCATCACCCCCTCCCACAGCACGCCTGGGCAGGGAGCGGAGGAGCGCCAGGTTGGAGGAAGGAGAAGCACATGGCCAGGTTGTGAGTGGGGGCCCTCCTTCACCCCAGGTGCAGAGTAGACCCTCAAGACCGATGGACGGATGGGCGCAAGCTCTCCATGGCAGGCTGTGAATAGAAACTGGGGGAGGGGAGTGTGTGTGAGAAGGCCGTTCTCTTGGCATCACCCCCTCCCACAGCACGTCTGGGCAGGGAGCGGAGGAGCGCCAGGTTGGAGGAAGGAGAAGCACATGGCCAGGTTGTGAGTGGGGGCCCTCCTTCACCCCAGGTGCAGAGAGGATGAGGTGACAGCAGCAGCTGTGGTGGCACCGGCGCCCAGAGAGGTGGCCCGATAAGGCCCTCAAGGTAAGGGCCCCATGTTGCCCCTTCCTTCCCTCCCTGGCACATCATTGGAGCGCTTCGGAGCACCTTGCCAGGTGACCTGTGAAGAGCAGGGGGGGGAGAGAGGGAGACCTAAAACCAGAAGCCCCAGTGGTGCCAAATCCCTGACCCGCGAGCTCTGTCGCTTCAGATGGAGAACACTGCCCAGCAGGGAGAGGGCTCCCCTTCTGGATGCGCAGGTGCTTCAGGGGGGGCAGGCGGGACCCAGCCCCTACGAGGCAGGGAGGGTTGGCAGCAGAGTTGCTCCTGTGCCTCTCAGGACCAGGGAGACAACTCTGAAGCAGGGAGTTTCTTGGAGCCCCTGATGAGGAAGCCCCACGCTCGCCAAGTAGGTGCCGCTGTTGCTGCTCCCTCTCCCGGTTGGGCTGAAATTAGAAGCCAGGCAGATTTTGAGAGTGGGTGTGCGTGTTGCACTTGTGGGTGGGCGTGTTGTGCTTGTGTGCATATGAGCGAGCATGACACACCCCTCTGCAACTGCAACACACCCACCCGTGAGCATGACATGCCTCTCCGCAAGCATGACACGCCCCTCCATGAGTGTGACATGTCCACCCGCAAGCATGGGGGTGCCCCCGCCCACAACCAGTCCGTGCACAGAGCTCACACCCCCAAATGGTCTGTGGTCCCAAAAAGACCGGGGATCGCTGTGTTAGAGGAATCACAAATGGAGTAGACCCATTTGAATCAATGGAACTTATAGAGCAACCAGCTCACCAAATCCTCACAGATTCAATGGACCTACACCAATGTGACTTACTATGCTAACCAACAGGATTTGATCCAATGTATCATTATGGCTCCCAAATAAATGTAGCAAGGAACAAAGCCCAGGGTTTTAAGCCCTCTACCTATGTGTATCGTGGTGTTCAATGAATGTGGGATAATGGAAAGAATAGTGCAGACATCAATTTAAATACCCACCATCTCACTAATATAGACGTACAGGATTTATGAGAAATGAAAGGTCTGTTAAGTGTTAGCAAAGTATTTAGCAACATTCTCATTTCTTGTGTAAGCCTCTTTAATCTTTAATTATATCACAATGTTTAAAAAAGATTTTTCAATTAAGGAAAAAGAAAGCCATATGTAACAGTACAACCCACATGGTGTTAAAATTCACTGATTCATTTTTGACAAGAAACAGATGTGTGTTTGTCATAGGAAAGGATACAAATTTCTTCACATTTATACAGTTAAAGAACAAAATAATAAGGGGTTAGTCAGCCAATCTGGAAATTCAAAGGCTTCTTTCTTTCTTTCTTTCTTTCTTTCTTTCTTTCTTTCTTTCTTTCTTTCTTTCTTTCTTTCTTTCTTTCTTTCTTTCTTTCTTTCTTTCTTTCTTTGTCTGTCCATTGGCACATTCTTTCTTCTCCCTCCACTATTGCTTAGACAGAAGAGAAAAAGTTCAAATATTATAGGATAAATCATAGCAGTTCCTGGCACAAATTATTTCTCTGAAAATCCGCATTATGCATTCTTGTTGGAAGGCTGCTAGACAACTGAAGAAGGGTCCTTCAAAAGTGTATCACCCGTGTATCTGAGCTTGAATAAGGGCTTTGAGATCTTAAGGGCAATGGTCGCCCAAACTCCCCTGCTACAGAAGGAGAGATATAATTGACCCCTATCTTTGGTACTTTTCTTCACTGAGCTTGCCCCTGCCACTCAACACATGCTATCCCACAACTTCCAGTTGATATCCGGCAGATAGGGAAGACAAGCAAGCGAGTGAATGAGTGATGATGTCAGGAGGGAGTGAGGCTGGAGAGATATGTGCTGAATGAGGAGTGAAGTAGATTCCTTAGGCTGGGAATTTGGAGAGTGGGCAATATTGTTGGGACCCTGTGGGGTGGGGGAAAGATGCAGTTCACTGTTCCTGGGGGCCTTCTACCTGAGGTGGCTGCCTGAATCTATCCAAGAAGGTCCACAATTCTTTTCTAACTAAGATATAATGATCTGAGCCAGAAAATAACTGCCAGTTTACGTTTCTTCCCCTCCCTGCTGAGCACTCCAAACCAAGTAGTAGGCTTGCTAAACCATTGGTGGAAGGAGTGAGTTCCTACCATTCCAAAGTTTCACTGATTTTTTAGATTGTGCAGTTGAAATATATGGTACCAAACAAGATTCCAAAATAGTGAATGGATGTCTGTTTTTTCTTCTTTTCTTTCCAGGGATACCATCGACCTCACCATTATATTGCAACTCAAGGTCAGTGTGATATTGTTAGGCAGTTGTCCAAATGCCACAATATAAATAAATAAATATAAATATAAATATATATTTATCTTCATGTAAACACAAATGCACAACCCACTTAGACATTTAATATGCTCGGGTACTTTTAAAAGAAAATTATAATGTACAGACATGGGCAAATCATTCTGTTTTCTTCCTCTGTCAGTTTTTGAATCTGTTCAATCTAGGGATGTGAACAAATTTCACGAATTTTCTGGTTCACATCAAGATTAGACCATCCTAACACATCATGCTGGTCTATAGAAAATTCATTAACCCCCTGCAAGATTTCTTGCTTTCAGCATAGGACTGAGAAAGCACCTTATCTATTTATTTTTTTGTTAAAAATATCAATATCAACATTGTTTACAAAATGTCTCTGCACAACACTAGGCTTGTTTCCCTTTGTGACTCTAAGCACACACGGAAAGAGTGCTGATAGTTCAAAAAGATGTGAAGAAACCCTCCAGTGCTTCTGCTTTTTGAAAGGCCATGCAACGAGGCAGCAGCTTTATAGTTTATTGTTGGAACAAAAATAAATATTTGTTTTTAGAGCATTTCCCTATTTCCCTAGGCTAGAGTTCTCTGTCAAAAGCCCCCCCCCACATCCTGCAAGATTTCTCAGCTCCTACCATGTCTGCTCTCATGCTTTTCTCTCTATCTTGTTTCTCACTATTTTTCTGATTTCCTGTGCCAAATAAAAATGAATGAATGAATGAATGAGTGTTAGAGCTTTCAAATAGCCTATTTTCAAGCCTACCCAAGACAGAAGTGTGTTCCGCATAGGAGAGAACTTTTTTCCTGAAAGGTACCTAAAGGGTAACCCTGACAGGATTTCAGAGAAACTGGGAAGATTTTCCTTGCCAAAAATAATGTAATACAGGCTTTCAAATATTCCATTTTCTAGCTAATGGCACACAGATATGTATCCTATCACAGGATGAGTCTTTTGTTGTGCAGGGAACTGGTTACTTTGGGAATGTTTTTATCAGATTTAGCAATGTTGGTGAAGAATATCTGTTTTGCACACATATGTATTTGAAGGATGTGCAATTATATCTGTCAATATGCGTGACAGATTTTTACTCTTTTTATGATAGAAACATTTTTTGTTTGTTTGTTTGTTTTTGATACATCTATTTTCTATGAGGTGATGCCTCTTTATACACAAAATGTCAAACTGAAGCCTTGTGCATAAAAGATACCATCATGTGCAAGAAAGTCTTGAGTTTTGTATATGCTTTCATTTCAAAAATTTCAAGAACTCTTTGGAGAAGTGTCTGGCAGCAGGAATCCCCAAAGGGATTTTTTGCTTTTTTCCTGAAAGGTACTGTACCTAAAGGGTAACCCTGATAGGATTTCAGAGAAACTGGGAAGATTTTCCTTGCCAAAAATAATGTAATACAGGCTTTCAAATATTCCATTTTCTAGCTAATGGCACACAGATATGTATCCTATCACAGGATGAGTCTTTTGTTGTGCAGGGAACTGGTTACTTTGGGAATGTTTTTATCAGATTTAGCAATGTTGGTGAAGAATATCTGTTTTGCACACATATGTATTTGAAGGATGTGCAATTATATCTGTCAATATGCGTGACAGATTTTTACTCTTTTTATGATAGAAACATTTTTTGTTTGTTTGTTTGTTTTTGATACATCTATTTTCTATGAGGTGATGCCTCTTTATACACAAAATGTCAATTGTGTTGCACTACAGTATTTTGCCTATCAATGAATTGTCTTTAAAAAAAATCATACCCTAGTCCTATGCCAGAAAGATATGGGCCAGCTATTAAAGGGGAAGAATGAACACCAGTGGACAAAGTCTTTTTTCCATGCCAAACAGTGCTTTCAGAGAACCATATATCATAACGATATGCCAGTGTGGAGTGACTCTTAGCATTTCGGGCATATGTATTTGAAGGATGTGCAATTATATCTGTCAATATGCGTGACAAATTTTTACTCTTTTTATGATAGAAACATTTTTGTTGGGGTTTTCTTGGGGGGGGGTTTGATAGATCAAATTATTTTCTATGAGGTGATGCCTCTTTATACACAAAATGTCAAACTGAAGCCTTGTGCATAAAAGATACCATCATGTGCAAGAAAGTCTTGAGTTTTGTATATGCTTTCATTTCAAAAATTTCAAGAACTCTTTGGAGAAGTGTCTGGCAGCAGGGATCCCCAAAGGGATTTTTTTTTAAAAAAAATGCATTATTTTTAATTGAGCAATGATTGAGATCTACATAATCTGAAGATTCTGGATTTGCGTCTCAGAGAAGATACCCTAAACTAAGTGTGTTAGGTGCTGTCAAGTTGGAAATGATTAGAGTGATTCTATTAAGTTTTTCAAGGTAAGTGATTTAAAAGAGTGGTTTTATGAGTTCCATCATCCCACGATTGAGTTTTCATAGCCAAGCAGGGAATCATACCCAGGTCTCCAGAGTTCTCAGTCTGTCCACTAGGGTATCATCACTCTAAAATACCATCAAATAATTGAGGAGAATGATAAGAATTGTACTTCTATTATCCACTCTGGTCATGAAGCATTTATATGTGCTGGTGACTAATAACTATTCTACCCAGACCTTGCACAGGAAATATAGTCTATACTTTGACTAAGGAGTAGCTTAGCTTCCATACTTCTCCATAGTATTGCTCCAGACTGATTTGAGATTGTGCACATTTTTATCATTTATGGCATGTGTTGCATTGCTCCCATTTTTAATCTCTGTTGCCTCTTTGATTCAAGGATTCTTGCTCCTGAGCCAAGGAGTTAAATCTTAGGAGACTTACAGCCTGTCCAATCTTAAAAGTTCAGTCTATTTTAACAAGTAACCATCAGCAAAAAAGGGACGTGGTGGCGCTGCGGGTTAAACCGCAGAAGCCTGTGCTGCAGGGTCAGAAGACCAAGCAGTCATAAGATCGAATCCACGTGACGGAGTGAGCACCCGTTGCTTGTCCCAGCTCCCGCCAACCTAGCGGTTCGAAAGCATGCAAATGCAAGTAGATAAATAGGGACCACCTCGGTGGGAAGGTAACAGCGTTCCGTGTCTAAGTCGCACTGGCCATGTGACGTGTTGCATTGCTCCCATTTTTAATCTCTGTTGCCTCTTTGATTCGATTCTTGCTCCTCAGCCAAGGAGTTAAATCTTAGGAGACTTAGAGCCTGTCCAATCTTAAAAGTTCAGTCTATTTAACTCAAGTAACCATCAGCAAAGGCAAAACAAAGAACTACAGTATTTTGCATCTCAAGATGAGCACCGCCCCCTAGAGTCGGACACGACTGGACAAAAATTGTCAAGGGGAACCTTTACCTTTACCTTTACCTTTAACCACCAGCAAAGGCAGAACAAAGAACTACAGTATTTTGCATCTCAATGAATTGTCCTAAAAAAATTCATACCCTAGTCCTATGCCAGAAAGATATGGGCCAGCTATTAAAGGGGAAGAATGAACACAAATGGACAAAGTCTTTTTTCCATGCCGAACAGTGCTTTCAGAGAACCATATATCATAACGATATGCCAGTGTGGAGTGACTCTTAGCATTTCGGGTCTGGCAGAGCAAATAAAGAATTGCTAGTATTAAATCGTCTCATGGGTGTTGTTTCTCTCTTACTTTCTTTGCCCATCAGGACCAATGCAAGAAACGGTGAAGGATTTTTGGAGAATGATCTGGCAGGAGAACTCCGCAAGTGTTGTCATGGTCACCAACCTGGTAGAAGTTGGCAGGGTATGGCGATGATTGCCCAAAGCTTTCAGTAACATGTTATGACCCATATTGATCTCATATTTCATTACTAAGGCAGGTTTATCCTGTTTCTGCACTAAGGTGTCTTTTTAAGTGAAACTTTCACAAACAAAAAATTGCCAGCAAAACTCACTTATTTATTATTTGTTCTCAAGGGATGCATTTCTAAATGTGTTTTACACTGAAACATGCATTTTTGTTGAGTGGAGAATTCAAAATTCAGAGAAGTGCAAAACATGAAACATAACTACATTGTAGTCTGCAGATTTTTCAGGAGGTGCAGATTAGTTCACTTCACATCCACATTTGCACCATCTGAATTCCACATGTATTGCTACCTTGTGCCTTATGTTACCACCATTTCAACATTTTCAAACTGTTGCAGAGGTGTCATAATCTTTGGTTCACTGCCCGGTAACCTTTAAGGGGAAAAAAGGCTCCATGTAGTTAGATCTACAATGGCAGCACTTTTAAGCAACTGCCATGCAACAGTCATTTTTCACCTTACCTGCTTACCTTTTCAGGAAAGTCTTTTGCTCATGTTATCTTAATTACCTCAGTAAATCATTGTCTTCAAATCTGATAAATGGAGAGATGGATTCAAATGGCCTACATTTTCCTACTGTACTATAGCTTCTGCACAATAACTACGCGGATTTAAGAATACCATAATATGTTATGCTTGCAAGAGGGAATTTGCTACGAGTGTTCTGTGGGTTAAACTAACCACTTGAAAGAAACAATTCCACAAGATTCTTATCATGTCAAGTGATTGCCAAGCCCGTTGCACAATGGAAGAAGTGGACCATCAGAATTAATCATTCACTGAACAGTTGAATGAATGGTTTGCAATGGTCAACATGCTCCATCTGTTTCTCAGTTGAAAGGGAAATGATCTATTTTTAAAATAGGGAATAGTATTGGCAGGATAATAGGGTTCGTTGCCTGCAACATGTTCAACAAATCATACTACAGGCACATTTGATAAGCTCAAATATGCATTTTATCTGTTAGGTGGAATTAATCCAAATGTATACATTATTGAGTAGCATGGGGGAAAGTGCAGGATGGATGGTTTCATACAGGACATGGAAACGTGTAATGCACATGTGTTGAGGGGGGGCACTACAGGTTTTGGTTCATGTAGAGAGGCTGTCCAGATACAATGTTCCCTTCTTCATACTTTCACTTTTGCATGTAAAGAAAGATGACATGGAGGAATCAGCAGACTCTCCTCATCACATGTGGTTTACACATACTTATAGAACAGCTGACTATGGTCTCAGAGGGAAAAAATTAGCAAAAAATGTGAGAAATACTATGGGCTTGTGGTAGCTAATTCACATTTCCCCCGTTGATCACATGACACAAAGGGAAATGCAGATCAACACAGAATCCCCCACTTCCAATTTGTAGTTTTTCCTCTCCATGAGGGAACCTTCTGCTTTTTAAAAATGCATCCTTTTGGATGAGTTCAGATGTGGAATTCCTTGAACTGATGCTGAAGAGAGAATGAGCTGAGCATATGTGTGCACACATGCATGCACATAGAGAGAGACAGAGAAAGTGGCACTTTGCCAAAGCATTTTGCCCCTCATCTCTTTCCCAAGATACATCTCCCCCCCCTCTTTTAAAAAAATATCTCTCCTCCATGGGCAACACTCCTGGATTTTGCTTTTGTTTTACAGGTTAAGAATGAAACTTGTATCCCTGGGTTAGAGTTATTTTTAAAGAAGATACTGTAATGAGATCACTATGTGAGGAAATTGAAGTAGAAGTCTTATTACCATTTGAAAAGCAGTTCTTTGTAATGCCACCACCTGCTGGGCCACAGAGAGAACTGCAAGCAAAAAACAAAAAAATGCATTCTCCTGTGTTCTATGTCACCACTTAATTCGATAAACCCAAATTCCTTTTGGACTACCTCAGAGTGAGTAAATGTGAATGAATTTACATGTCGCTTGCTGTGTAGTAGCACACTTATCCAGTAGGATTCCATTGAAATAAAAGAGCCCCTTGTGGTCATTACACAATACAATTGCAGGAGTATGTGACACCTGTATAGATCACTAAAAAAATCACACAATTGTTAGCTTTCATGCATCAGGATGTCCACTTCATCTGGTGCAAGTGTGATGAAGTTGACATCCACAAAAGCTAGCAATTGTGTGATTCCTTTAGTGGTCTATAAAGCTATCACCTATTCCTGTATTTGTATTCAATAGAATTTATGTATAAAAACTAGATGAGAAGCTACTTAACTGGGGGTCTCATTAGTGTCTGTTACATACAGTATTTGTGATGTGTGCAGAGATTCAGTTTTGCCTTTGACTGATGTAAGATAAGAGTGAAGCTCAGTGCCAAATATGAGGGTAATGCACATATCTAATTTAGTTCTATTGCAGGCATACACATTTTATGATCTTATGCAGAGAAGACATATAGTGTAGAAGTTTGTAGCTGTGCATCTTTTACTAGCATCTCCTGTATGATCTTTCATCTCTTAGGTGAAATGTGTCAGATACTGGCCAGATGATACAGAAGTCTATGGAGACATCAAAGTCACCTTAATTGAAACAGAACCATTGGCAGAGTATGTCATACGTACTTTTACAGTCCAAAAGGTAAGGGGGGGGCTTGGTTCTTCTTTCACCCTGAGATAATTTGACCTTGCAGTAGGTCAGGCTCTTCCCATATTTCATTCTGATTTATGATGGACCATATTTGGAAATGGCCGATTCTATTTCTTCAGGTGGAAAGCAAGACATCTGCACAGGAGATGTTTACATGCAAATACTAGATGTGAGTAAGAACCCCATTTTTAAAAGGTTCTTTCTTGCATGTAGAGTGAACAGAAGCAGGAATGTCCACTTTGCAGACATGTCTGTTGCCACATGGAGAAAGCCAAAGAGAGGAGGGGCTGCCTGCTCGCCTCCAAACATGGCAAGTATATTCATGTGAGTAACAACTAAATAGTCCTTCTCTCTTTTGAATCTTAAAAGCAAGGGGGTGGAAGTCATAGAAAGGAGGATAGAAACAGTATGGAGTGACAATGATCTTAAGGCAAAAGCATTATCCCACACTGCTTTTATCACACATACTTCTCCTAGGCTGGATGGAAGGCGAGAGACAGTAGGAATTTTTCAGTTGTTACTCATCATGATATTTCTTAAATTAGTTTTGATTCTTGTATCTTTTAATGGTCATGATACCTCACTAAAGGGAGCAGATACCTAGCTTAATAGTACACCATGGAAGTGAAAGGAGCACCTTTATATAATTTCCTTTTTTAATTTACTTGATACTGAATAGAATGTTCTCTGGTTAAATCTTTGTTGAGCTTTCATCATTATTCTGTATGTGAAGCCTTAATCAGTTTGCTAACATTCATTTGCTTCTCCATGCAAAGCCGTGATTGGCGTGCAATTGCTTGTGCTGTTGTTCATCCTTTCCCATTCTAATAGTTTCTGTTCTTCAACCTCTTTTTTAAAATGATAACTGGAAATATGTTACTATATTAGAATCAGAAGTTGGGAAAGTCAGAATGGATAAATCTGGTGGTTTTAATCCTTGCCTTCCCCTGCAGTGCCTGTTGTGCACTGCAGGTATACAATCAGAACTTCTCCATGTTCTGTTTCATGTTCCAAATAATGTATCTGTCCCACCCCCTCAAAATGCCAGAAATACGATTGTGCAATTTGCTTTGGATATACTGTAGTTGGATTTAAAAGATACATGTAACCCCCTCCTACATATGGAACTGGGTAGGGGGCAGGGAATGAATAACAGAATTGTTAGCATTGTTGTTGTTGCTGCTGCTATGGTGGAAAATAGAGGATTTCTTATCTTCCTTAGAAAGGCTACCATGAAATCCGAGAGATTCGACAGTTCCACTTCACCAGTTGGCCGGATCATGGGGTTCCTTGTTATGCCACAGGCCTCTTGGGCTTTGTTCGACAAGTGAAGTTCCTCAATCCGCCAGAGGCAGGACCTATTGTTGTGCACTGCAGGTATACAATTTGTTTCTGTCTGTCATTTCTTCTCATCTGTTTTCTACTGTGGTGTTTGTTTCCTTCACTCAGTAGGCATTCCACTAGCTTGTGCTAGAGAGTCACACAAGAATGAATATTCTGTTATCTAAGACCCTGCTTTACAACAGGATCCAACATATACCAACTAAAATTATTTCAAATGTTAGTCCTGTTGCAAAATACTGACTATCCTAGAGAAGAACAAGTAGGCTTGCTGTGCTCCACTAGTGTAAGTGCTGCCACAAACAGTCAGTTGCAAAGCTTTTGAATGAGCGTAGTTCACCATATTCACCAACATGTTATGAACTGGTGCAGCCAGATGTTCAACTGAAAATGCAAATTACTTGGACTTTCAAAAGGCTTTTGAGAAAGTTCTCCACCAAAGGTTCCTGATCCAACTTTGTATTTGTGGATAAAATAGACTGGTAGCTGGTTAAAGATCAGGAAAAAGTGAATTATCAGTTTATATGATGAAGGCAGATAGATACATCAGCTTGCAGCTGTGACATTATTAGCAAACTGTGTTCCTTTGATGGAGGCTGCTGACTTTACTTGGAATGAGAAGCCAGTAAGAAAATGTATATATTCATATTGTAGATTAAGACTCTTCCTACCCCTGTCCCTTTCCAACTGCTATGGTTCCTGCCATACAGTAACAGCTGGTGCATCTTACTGGTGTAATTCACCACTAGTCATGTTGTTGTTACATGCCATCACTTTGCATCTGACTTATGTTGACTCCAAGAATTAATGCCTTTAGAATGTCCTATCATTAACTACACTGCTGAGCCTGGCAACCCAAAGGCTATGACTTCTTTGTCTTGTCCAGTGAGTCTTGTCTTCTCTGAATATGTCCAAATACAACAGTTTCTTCTTCGTGGCCTCTGTGAATGCACACAAATGGCTTTTACAGCGCCTGCGTAGGACTCCTCTGAATATTCTAGAGCCTAAAAAGACATAATTAGTAGGATGTTGCCCCGTGGCGCGCATGCTCCGCCCGCCCGAAATACCTCAGTTCCTTTTAGCCGCTGCTGACTTCGGACACCTTTAGTGACTATTAGAGCTATTCCTATCCTAATCATTCAGGTTTTTTCATTTATGATTTCTGATCATGGACTTCATTCCTAACCAACGGCATACTATCTTGGACTGTTTTACTTTTACAGCTTTGGATATCGGACGTTTTCCCTGTGAGTTCTTTTATTCCCTTCCCCCTGTTTGAACTCCCCCCTCCTTTTTAATGGCCTCTTTGACACTATTCAAGAGGTGTGCATCGTGTGCCAATAAGATACCTTTCACCGACGGCCACAATCACTGTTTATTTTGTCTAGGATAGAGACATCAGACTCACTCCTGTATGGAGTGAAAAAAATTAAGTAAACCAGTTCTTAAGCTTCATTTGCAAAGACTTCAGTCATATCTCTGGGAAAAGTCCCTCAAACCCTCCAGCCCATCCAGTAGCCCTTTGATGGAGCCTACCGGCTTCTCAAGTTCCTTCGTTATCTCTTTGATCAAGGTTTGGCCCACTCAACGTTGGAAATTTATGTTTTGGCTATAGTCTCATATCAGCCTGTGGCATCTGAGGCTTCTCGTTTATTTTCTCATCTTACCCCTGAAGAGGTTTCTGAGAGGTTTGCGGAATATGCACCCACCTATCCGACCTCCATTCACTGATGTCTGGTGCCTCTTCCTTTTCAGGTTCCAACTTGAACATTTGCCATTTCTTGCTATGCATATGGTATAAGTCTTTGTTTACATGGGAAACTAATGAAGTGATTTTATACTCTTTGATGTCCCTAGGCACAAATGGTAGATGATTATTCCAGTTAATTCCAGCACCATATCTAGGGCTCTTTCAGAAACTGATTTGAAGTATTATGGTTCACTCCTTGAATATGGGAATCAGTATTGAATATGGAATGAATAGTGTATATAGTCAATAATGGCAAAGTATATAACCCAGAGAGGTAAATTCTTGTTTGCCATGCTTTGCCACAAGGATGAGAAAATACAGCATGCAGGATTGGAAGGAAAAAATCTTCAATAATGGCAAAGTTTGTAACACAGAGAGGTAAATTCTTGCTTGCCATGCTTTGTCACAAGGATGAGGAAATACAGCATGCAGGATTGGAAGGAAAAAACAAGTAACAAGTAATCAGTTGGTAAAAATGATACGTTTGATGGAGTTCTCACATCAAAAATGGTGCTGTATAAAAATATAATAAATAAATCTGTACTTCATGGCATTGCTTTGCATTGCCAGTTCTACAGTTGAAGAAATTGAGCTAAATCCAAGTGCTAGCACCTACTGGAGTAAATCTGTTGAATTAATGAGATTTAAATAAGCACTCGGTATTCAGTAGTTGTTTCTATGGGTCTTCCCTAGTTGGGGATAGCAACTGAATTGGCTACAATTCTGTCAGCTCCATAGTTATGTTAGGGCAATTGCACAGGGAATTCAAACTATCTTCCCAGCTGTTCATCATGCATTAATGATGGCAGTAAGGTGGACACAAAATTGGCATGACAGGCAGCCTGAAAAATTTGAAAATCACAGGAAGTTACAACTGCATTTTTGCTGCAATGTTAAATGGTAATACCATACACAAAACAACAGCATACAGAATTAGTCTGTCATGGAGAATGTTTTACCATAGCTTTCTCCCTGGCAAGTGTGACTTGTATATATTCAACAGAATCCTTCTACCTGCTATGTCTATACTAGAGTAGAAGAGAGTGTGCATTATGGAGCCTTGTGGCACAGGGGTTACACTGCTGTACTGCAGCCAATCCCAGGTAACTGGCTCAAGGTTGACTCGGCCTTCCATCCTTCTGAGTTTGGTAAAATGAGTACCCAGCTGTCTGGAGGGGGCAATGTGTAGCCTGCATAATTAACTTGTAAACCACCCAGAGAGTGCTTTAAGTGCTAGGGGCAATATATAAGCCTCATGCTTTGCCTTGCCTCCATATGATTATGCAAGATAAAATAGCATCACATCGTTCTTCAAGAGTGAATACTCTTGTTTTGATGAGATGGCACATTACAACCAACATAATGCCTGATAATCTGGTCTTCTGTGGAACTGAGAATACTGTTGACTGCAAGTGCATATGTTATTTATTTATTTTCTAAATTTATTTTTGGACTTATATACCGCCCCATAGTGCTACAAGCACTCTCCAGGCGGTTTACAATTTCATTATACAGGCTACACATTGCCCCCCCAGCAAGCTGGGTACTCATTTTACCGACCTCGGAAGATACTCTTGTTTTGGTGAGATGGCACATTACAATCAACATAATGCCTGATGATCTGGTCTTCTGTGGAACTGAGAATACTATTGACTGCAAGTGCATATGTTATGTGCCATCAAGTCAAAATTGACATATAGCAACCCTAATAGGGCTTTCAAGGTATATGAGATCTTTAAGGAGCGACTTCACCAGTTCTACTCTCCCAGTGAGCTTCCATGACTGAATGGAGATTTGAAACCAAGTGTCCTGAGTCCTAGTCAATCATTCTGTCCACTGCACTACACAAGTTGATAAGGGGTCTTAATATCTCAGGTACTCAAATGCTTACTTTGAAACACCTTCAAGCCAGAATTCAATTGTTATTCGTAGGACCAGGATAATTTGTATGTGTCAAGGTGCATGAGGGATTTGCAATTTGAACCATCAAGCTTTGCTCTCAAATCTTGCACCTTCCCCAGAAACAAGAAAGTGGGAAAGATCATTGCTATATCTGCTTTCTAAGTCAGCCTTTCTCTCTTCCTCAAAAGAACTGAATTCTAGCTTGCTGTTCCAAGCCTTGGAGATATATATGTATGTCTCTTTTAATTTGCGGTGTAAAAGAAAACAGGGCTGTAATCTTGGTGTTTTATTTTCTCTTTTCTCTCACTCGGCATTTTTATTCCATCCCCATTCCTGGGTTTCCCAGTTCTGCCCTCCTCAAAGAGCTATGGCTACACAGTAATGAGGCCCCAGCCTTTGGGCACAGAGGGACTAATGAAGGAAGACAGCTGCATTTACAACATCCCCCCACCTCCAAAATGCTTTTTTCTGCTTTTTCATGGTCCATTGATCATGTTCTTTCCCCCCATCTTCTTCAGTGCTGGTGCTGGGAGGACAGGGTGCTTTATTGCCATTGACATCATGCTTGACATGGCAGAGAATGAAGGTGTGGTGGACATATTTAACTGTGTGCGGGAACTGCGATCCCAGAGGGTCAACTTGGTGCAGACAGAGGTATGTGTGAGAATTTTTATTTTGCTTATTTGTTAGTCTGTTCCCAAGAAAGAGCTCAGCACTGCCAGATGGTATATTACTGATTATTTAATGGCACAAAAGGTAGATGTCTGAGTAAATCTATTAATGCTGCGCTATTCGGGCAATTAATAATTTAGTTTCATTTAAGCATGTATATGGAGCAGTTTAACAGTGAACTTAATCAGTTGGACATTAGATGTTTTAAAAAGCCCTTTTTAAAATACAAATATTTACAAATAGGTTTTTGACATAATCCAAAAAAAGGCATCCTACCTATGCAATACCAAAAGGAATATGGTATTAAGATGGTTCATGAATATTAGCTATTAATGCACTAAACTTCATGTTTAATGTAATTTTGCCACCAGATTTATAGAACATCATTTACAATGTACAATATCATATTTAAGATTCACTCTGGGTTCCTTTTGTTCCATCAGCTGACGTACTTAAAGCACAACAGCTGGCATGAGTTGAAATACAGCCAATACCATATTCAACTCCTAAGGGTTTTTTTTTTCCCCAGCCACCACTGAACTGAAGTCTGCTTTATGGTCTAATAGTCTTCAGATAGTCATGATCTTTTTATGGCCTAAGATTCAATTATTGCAGCCTCTATAAGGAACCAGAGGATTACAAGAGGATCTCATGTCTCTCCTATCTCCTTTCCCAAGGCACAATGTTTCAACAGTTACTTCACGTATTATATTTTTAGTTATAGATCCAGCGTTTTTCCCCCCAGATTGCACTGAAATGCAAGGTATTGATTGTAGCAAACACATATTTGCAGTTATGGATCCCAATACGCTGCATGTTCAGCTCAATTTTTCAAATAGCTATCTCCCTCTCTATTTAATGCAGTTTTTCAAGGGATAGATAGATAATGTACAGGTATATTTATTAAGGAGCTGTGATTGGTTGCAGTTTCCTATTGCAGGAATTCAGAGGTTATAGTGATGCTCCCAGTATTACTGATATCATTTTATATCGATAGTTACATAAATGGAGGTAAATAAATGGTTACATAAATTGGTTATTGGTATTAGTTGTCAGTTGGTAGGGTTGTAGCTTTAGTGGCATATAATTCATGTGTCTGTTCCACTGAGAAGATAAATGTAGGACTTCAGTCCACCAGTCTGCCACTGACAGTTATCCATCTCCAGTATAGTAATGAAACTGAAACAGGCAACCATACCACAGCCACATTGCCTAAACAACATGCCTGTTTAAGGTATATGTTTTAAGAGCAGCAATTTCCTTTCTTTTTGGAGTGTGATGTGGAAAATCCCTGTCAATACTTATTGAACTGAATTTGATTTTGAGCAGGAACACTCTTGTGGTGTGAACTAGAAACTAACTATGGGGAAGTCAGTATCAAAAAAACAGAAGAAATGTCACAAATACTAACAAATCATACATCATTAGATACACAAGAATTTGAATATGGCTTGAGAAAAACTGAACTCCCTGCTTCAAGAAATTTGCTGTGGCAAAAATCTAGCCATTTCAAGACAAAGATTAACTATCAATACAAGATTATAATTGTGCTTCCAGCCCATTAAATACCAAACACTTCTTCACTCTGTCACTGTTTTTATCTGGCTTTGCTGCTACACAATTATTTTATAACTGGTGGAGCTCAGTAACTGTTAGCTGCTTCAAAGGGACCCTGGAAGTTGAAAATTACAGTAGGTCACAGGAATATGGTGTGGTGAACAAAAGAAAAGAGAATTAGATGGCATGTATACTTTTCCTCACAGTTGACAGTAGAGAGCCCATAAGGCCATTTTCTGAAGATAGGCTGTAGGTCCTACTGCCCACAAGGCTTTTGTTATTGTTATTGTGGATTTATCCAGCTCACTTTTTGCAGAGGATCACACTTGTGGCTCTGTAATATAAGCACTTCCCACCCCACATAATCTTAGGGGAAGGAAGTGTATTGTTTTGCTTGTTTGTCTAAGAAATCTGAGAGGAAAACATTTGGGATTTCTTGTATTAAAGCAGAAAATATACCATTGAACTTCAAGAAGCCAACAGTGGTGAATGTTTTAACTTCTTGCTTTGTAGGAGCAATATGTTTTTGTTCATGATGCTATTCTCGAAGCATGCCTTTGTGGAAACACTGCCATCCCTGTTTGTGAATTCAGATCCATATATTACAATATCAGCAGATTGGATCCACAGACAAATTCCAGCCAAATAAAAGATGAATTCCAGGTATTTTTTTTCTTAAATAACAAAAAAAAAGCCAATGACAAGTCGTCCAAGTAGTACTTGGTATTGTATTAATCTGTGGAGATACGCTTGGATGAAAAAAAAAAGCAACTTGAGCGGGGTGGGGTAAGGGTGGGTGATGGGGTACTACCACTGAAGTAATTGTGCGAAAGGTGATGAGCTATGCTTTGAGCAAGGAGTCAAATTGCCAGTTAAAGGAAATTGTTGATGACCAAATATCTGGTTCCTCCCAACCAAAGGGAACTTGGTTGCCCTCTCTGTATGCCTTCAGGACAGACACTTTCCATTTGGTTGTGTTTTAAATGAATGAATGACAAACTGTCTGTTTCATCAGTATGGCAACTCTCAACACATCTCTCTGTTTTCTAAGTATTTAAATTAATCTTATAACAAGATGTAAAGGATTTTCATAAAACATCAAATTTCAGCCACGTAACACAGATAGAAGTGAAGCAATGGGGTTCTGAGTATGAGTGTCTTCCATCTCTGTTAAACCTCCTACATTCAGCCCTTACAATGCATGATCCTTCCAGACACATTCAAGCTTTGATATTTCTGTTTTCATAAATTAACCTCTGAGGTTAATTGTTTGTTTGTAAGAGACATCAAGGAAAATTGCATACTGCATTATATCTCTGCTCATTTGCAAGAATGCTGAAAAAATGCCTGTTCTGTGTGAATCAGAGAAGAGGATGTTCAAAGGGTGCCACCTTTTTTTGTTACAGATTTTTTAGTATTAAAAAATACTAAAGCATTTGTGTTCCAAGGACATTTTGCTAATGTCTGCCCAGAGCTCTGAAACAAAAATGCAACAACTTATCTCACAGCAGTGAACAAAATGTTCTATTTCCATTTACCAAATTGCTTGTGAATTGCTTTATACTACTAAGTTCACCTTGCTTGACATAAAAATGACCATTATGAAGTTAGACTATAGATTTTCTTTTCCTTGACTAGTTTAGAGCGAGGCCACATTCAGAGCATCATTAACATTTATTTTATTGCTATATTTTTTTGTTTCTGCACAAAGAATCAGAAGACACATCTAACTTCTGAAACATAAGTTTGCATGAAATAAATGCATTTCATGCATTCCTCTTTGTACAAGCTGTCACAGATGCTATTCAACATCTATTGTGGTTTCAGGGAAGTGCAATATGAACAGTAGAAGCTATTGCAGTTTCTCATAAATCATCTCCAGTTATGGAATGGCCTTCTCACATGTGACTTAAAATTAAGTATATGTGATCAAGACACATATAGTTCAATCATTAATATTTTATTTTGATCAGTAATATTCTTGCAGAGAAGTCAAACACACATTTTAGAAATAAGCAAAAATAATTTTAACACTTGGGAAACAAAATCTGCTTTGCCAACATTTTGACGTAGAACAGGGAGCCCAGACAGGATTTCACGGTCCCTTAGATATGTGTCAACTCTGGAACTTGTGAAGTAGTCTGCAAATTTTGTTAGACCAATATATCTGTACAGTGAGATGTGGAAATCTTCCTTTTTGGTTAGCATCTCAGCAAATTAGAAGCTTGCAACCATCCATGCTATGTCCCCGATGAAGGCATGTACTTCCCATGTTAACTGATCACATCCAGCTGTTTTAGGAATGGGCCTGGAAACAATTTTTGGTTGCAACCTGGAGGAATTTGCAAGTTGTCTAGCTCACTGGTTCTTAACCTTGGGTTACTCAGGAGTTTTGGACAGCAACTCCCAGAAGCCTTCACCACCAACTGTGCTGGCTGGGGTTTCTGGGAGTTGCAGTTCAAAAGCATCCGAGTAACAAAGGTTAAGAACCACTGCTCTAGTTGATAGTATATTATTTTAATACAATGTAATATTATTTCAAATCAATAAGCAAGACTGTGATTGTGGTAGATAATTTTATATTCAGCAGAGTCATCTGGGATAAAACTGTAATGAGGACAACCTAAGAAAAAACAAGCTACGGTAGGAAGTGGGCAACATGTGGCCTTCACACATGGAATTCTGCTCTAGGGGGTTCATTATGGGTGCTCAGGGTCTGTATGGAAAAGGGGAAATTTCCAACCTCTGAATGTTTCTGAGGGGCTTCTTCCATCAGTATTAGGACTCAGTAGGATTCTGGCGTTAGATTCCAGTTCTTGAGTCTTAGCTGTATATATAGAAGACAAGTTTGTTGATTGTTGTTTTGTTGTTTTGTTTTTGTTTTTTTGCAATGCAATGTTAGATATCCATTTTATAGCCTTGAAGACTGACAACAGACAAAACACATTTATACATTTCCAAGCTTTGCACCACATTTCAGAATGAAAACCATACATGTCTTTGAAAGAAAAAATTATAGACTGAAAAAGTATATCTCTGAAAAATCAACCCAGGAATACCATGATCAATGTGAAAATGCATATGTTAGAGAAGTGCAGACATAAATGCATCCATGTCTTTTCGAGCCAATATGAAACCAAGAAGGAATAAAATGGTTGGCAGGATTCTGAGAAAAAGAGTGAGACTGACAGATTTTCACATCTATATTATGTACATTAATGGAATGGCTGAAGGGATGGAGAAAAGAGATGACGGTGACATTAATAGGTAGAAGTCTGTTTATATTTAGAGCAAACTGAACAATCTGGGGCTGTGGGCATGCATGAGTGTTCGTTTATCAGATTAATAGAAAAGAGGCATGGATGAATCATTTAGAGGTGAAATGTCTAGCCATTCATGTGATGCAGCTTATCTTGTGCATCTGGGCAAAGGAAAATCATCACATGGGATTTTAGATTGCTCTTTTTGCTGGATTGCTGCCTGATGGGACTCTATTAAAGGGATTTAGTACTTAAGGTGAGTATTCTAGGCTATATACTTTTTGTTTATTTGTTTAGTTTCAGGGAACCTCTGGCTACCTATCTAGTATTCATTACTTCCTGCAGAGATCACAGATATAAATCATCCCACCTGTTGTACAGTTTGATGTATTTTTATTCCGATCCTTATTAAAATATTGAACTCTCTATGGATCTATATAGGAAAAAAAAACCTGAATGACAATTATTCAACGGGCAAAATCTTTTTGGCATCGTTATGTCAGCATAAACTGCATCCAAGCATTGGAAATAATTATTTGAAACTAATTAGAAACTTATGACCTCAACTTCTGAGTTCCTGGGGCTCATTTTTGTCCTGAGACCACGGCCAGCGGACCCAGTCCCCATGGGCAGCAAGCCAGTGGTGAATTTTGACAATTAAAGTCTCCCTCTCTCCCATCCCAAAGGCTTTCCCAGGGCAAAAAGGAGGCCAGGGCAGCCTAAGAATCTGGAACGGAGAATGGGGAATAAGGCAACAATAATGATTAAATCATTGACTTACAGTTAGTCAGTACCATAACCTGGAAACAAGATAAAGGAGTGTTTACATTTTGGTGGCTGATAGGATTGTCATTTCCTGTTTCTCTGGCTCTCCCCTCACTCATTTATAGCAATGATTGTTCGTCAAGGACCATGATTCTCTTCTGGCACAACCTATGCATCCACATCTCTTTTTTTCATTAAATAAAGTTAAACATGGCTAGTGATTTATGCCTCAGTTGTTCTGTTCTAAGTCCAGCATTATACTCATTGCAGATTACTGACTGCTACAAAGAATAATAACCTAAAAATTATTTATTTTTAAAAAATAGACCTCTGATTATTTTCGGTTTCATTTGGAGGGGCTGTGTTGCCTCTGGTGCCAGAAAAGGTGGACCCAAACATCTGGAACTTCCTCACTACATTGTGTTGAGCAATGTGTAAAATCACAGGTTTCTGGAGTTAAATATGTATCAATGCCTTTTTATGTCCTTGACTATAGACCCTTAATATAGTTACACCTCGAGTACGGCCAGAAGATTGCAGCATTGGACTCTTGCCAAGGAACCATGACAAGAACCGCTGTATGGATGTACTGCCCCTGGATCGGTGCCTCCCCTTCCTTATCTCCGTTGATGGAGAATCGAGCAACTACATTAATGCTGCACTAATGGATGTAAGTAACAATTAAATTTTGGATTTCTTTTCCTCTATATAGCCAAACAGAAAAAGGACATATTTGGCCAGCTATTAACCATCAAGGAATCCTTGCATCCTTGTTCCAAGAAGCTCAGAGAAGCATAATATCCGTCACCTCCTTACACACACTCCTTCATTTTTATATTGTATGTTAGGATAAGTGACTGGACTAAAGTCACACAGTTATCTTCATGGGTAGCTAGGGATTTTTGCTTCGGTTATTCTAGTCTAAGTCCTGCATTATAGCCACTGCCCATTAAAGATTGTGAAAAAGAATGACAATCTAAAGATTATTTATCCGAAACACTCTGCAGTGGTGTATGCTAAGACAGCAGCTGAGAGAAATGCACAAAATGTCACTAAATACTGATAAAAATATTGTAGGTTTTTATAGAGAGTATTTTGAACTAATTTTTAAAAAGTCTAATCAAAGGCTATACATAAATAAGAAAAAAAATACAAATCCAGCAAGCAATTCCGGGATAAATACTATGATGCAAATAAAAGAATTGTAGAGGGCAACATTCAAATGTAAGAGCCAGTGTAAGAGCAAAGATTGTCACGGGACTGCCAGTGGTAGGACACCGGGCTGTCTTTTCCCCTGATTGTAAAGTAGGTGACCACTGATAGATGGAAGGCCATAGCTCCATGGTAGAGCATGTGCATTGTACACCTCCAAATAGGAAGCACACACATCTGAAACACATGAGAGCCACTGCCAGTAGTGATCCTTCAGAATTTTGCTTGTTCCACATTTGAGGGAGGCCTGACCTGATTCCCTTATTCACACACGCACGCATGCGACACGCACACACGCACACACATTCATTCAAATACTGAACACAGTTATCCTCCAGATGTCTCAGGTCCCTGAGTTTTACAAGGCAGTGTCTGGAAAATATACAGACTTTAGGATGAAACACAGGGCATACCAATGATCATGCAGATTTTAAATAACTACACAGATTAATTAAAAAATGGGATGGAATGGATTTAGGAACAAAAATGCATTGGACTGACAACAGACTGTTCCATCCACTCCCTCCAGCTGTCACTCAGTGTAGACGACACTTAGCTATATGGACAATCAGCCTGTTTCAATATAAGGCAGATATCTTTCCTCCTATGGATGATAGTTCCTAAGAATGAGATGCAGTCACTGTTCACTACAAGGTGATTGTAAAATGTCACAGCACAGTGGAAAGAAAGGAAGTACCCACTTGTACATATCTTTCTTCATTTCCTTCTGCAAGCACCGAAACATATTTCCCATACATGGTGCCTCTTATCTTTCAAGTCATTTGGTATAGAGGTATTTACTCCTTAACCTAGCTATAGGTCCTGGTCCTGCAGATGCATTTTTATCTTCCTTCTCTGTGGTTTAACATGTGTTCATTTAAGGCTCTCAGAAGCATTGATTAACAATCTGATGTGTGTCTCTTTTCCCAAAATAACAACAATAAAAGACTTAAGTTGCTATCCGATACAATATATAGCCTTGTGAAAGCAACTCAGAGGTACTGTGATTGTAAGTATATATCTGTTATCTAACAGTTGAGTGCGCAGAAGCCTTTACTGCTTCACTGAGCAGAAGCTGTTTTCTGCACAAACCGTCTGTGTCTAACTCTGAGTTGTGCAGCTGCCAGCAAGGAAAAGGCTATCTTTCATTCATTTTTATGAAGAAGGCACAGTGATCAGTTCCACTACAAAGCTATCACAATTCACACACCTTACATCCTCCTTCTGATCTTTTGCCCTTTGTCCCCATAGTAGCCTTGGGCTTTCTTTTATCCATGCCAGGACCACTTTGGATTAATCATAGGTTGGGGTGGGCAATGTTTGGTCCTCCAGATAATGGCCAGAATCCTATGACGTTTGTGTGATGCAAACCAAAAATTGAGGAAAGGGAGCAGTGCCACCTCTTTGCTATGTATTTAAACATGCCCTGTTGGCATGCTCAGCCACACACCCAGTTGGATATCCAGGTACATAACAGATGGTGATTGTGAAATCTACTTAAGCAGTCTTCCTTATGGGCACATCGTTCCACAAATAGAACTTTGGCCATTGCTGGATTGAAGTTCCAGTCAGACCCAGCTCACTTGAAGGACTGTGAGAGATTGTATGATATCTAGAAAGCCGAGCGCCTAAGAGTTAAACCAAAGGCTGTGGTTTAATGTATAAATGTGGCTAAAGGAGTGGAAATAAAAGCAGAAAGGGAGAATTGCTACTGGGCAGCAAGCAATCTTACTGGGAAGAGAAATGAAATAGAGGTAGAAGCAGGTGGCAGATGGAATCACAGAGTGCAGACTGATAAGGAATATCTGTAAGCCACTGCACAGAACTGGTGGTCTTACTCCATCAGTAGCCACTCACATACAAAATGTTTACTCCTGTTGTTCCCTGCCTCCACTGGTAGCATATTATGTATCCTATTGTGAAGGATATTGGGTTCTTTTCTTGCTCACTGCACTGCTTCCCCTACTAATGCATAGCAGTGTCCTCTTGCTGTTTAAGGATGTGAAAAATGCTCACAAAATTGTTTGCTCCTGATGTCACATGTTCTCAATGAGACAGGCAGTCTTGACCTGTTGAGATAGCTTTTTGAATCATTACCAGGCTCTTCAAGAGTTCCTGCTTCTAGACTGAGAACGAGTAGGGAATCTTGCACCAGGATCCCTCTTTTGTCTCATTTCCAATAATTTATACAATATGTCTCTTGAAAAGCTAGTTTCTTTTCTGTTCGTGAAGCACAGTGGATGCGGAGAAAGAAAGCATGACTGATTTAGCCAAAAGACTAACACCTTCCAAAAAAAGATTTATCAAAAAGATGAAGACAATCTGTCCTATACTCCTAAGTTTTAGAAGTTCATGCAGCTACAGGTATAATAGTTTTATGCTACCTGATCGGTTTGCACAAAAATAATTCTCACGAATAGGAGACCTCTTGTCAAGAATGCCAGAAAATATCATGCCATTTCTCGGCTGAAGAGGAAGAAAATAGAGATCCTCATTCTTTTCAGTGGGAAGTGAGGAATTATATCCTTATTTTTAACTCTTGCTACTTGGCATTTTGTCTCAGCTACAGCCACCAGTTACGCCATACTTTTGCTGAACTTGAATTCTCAAGGAAGCGAATAGCAATATAATGTTATCATTTTTGTCAGGGATAGTATCATTGCATGTATATTTTGGAGTGAAAGTCCAAGGATGAATAACAACATACCAAAGAGAAACCTGAGACCAATCACAGATTAATTTTATAAAATCCTCTGAGATGAACATATATTTTCTCTCTTTTGGGTCATATGTGACAGTTATATTTAGGTAATTTTTGCTGATATACTGTATATTAAGTGGTCATGGTTATTATTATGTTAGCAGTTTCCAAATTTCAGGCCTTTACCACACACACACAGACACAAATCAGTATTCAATTTTTCAATGTTCTGACAATCTTTCCAACAGCCTGACACTGATTTAAGTGATTCTGTAAACTCTTTTTGAGTATGCCATGTATGTCTCAGTTATAGCAGCTAATTGTTTTGAGTTAAACGTCTATTTTTAAGACTGATCCCACATCCTAATCCAAGAACATTCCAGATGTTTAGAAGCAAACTGACATAAACTGTAAGCCACAATAAAAATGGAATAATACCTTTCATATGCTATCTCTTTTAATGCTAGCATTTTCTTCTATCCTGGAGCCCAAATAAAGTCCAGAAAGTCTGTAAATTCCAACCAATTAGGATGTAACTGTCAACAACATCTTTCCCACCAAAACAATGGGGGTTCACTAAACAGAACCAGAGTTTGGAAAAGCTGCTTTCCCCCTCAAGCTTCTACAGTCCCTCAGCCAGCATGAAAATACAGCGAAAATGTATCACAGCTGTAGCAAATAAACATGGGAACTTGCAACACATTGCTAATGAAACTTTATATTTACAGAGAGTTCTCTCTCTCTTTATTTGTGAAGGCTTTCATGGCCAGGATCTAATGGTTGTTGTGGGTTTTTCAGGCTCTTTGGATGTGTTCTGAAGGTTGTTCTTCCTAATGTTTCACCATTCTCTGTGGCCGGCATCTTCAGAGGACAGCACTCTGAGGATGCCGGCTACAGAGACTGGTGAAACGTTAGGAAGAACAACCTTCAGAACATGGCCAAAGAGCCTG